AGCTACAGTCAAGATTCACAAGCACTGCATTGTTTGTATATTGGTTATAACATAACAATTTACAGTTGTAAAGATCAAAATTACAGTTTTGCTATGTCTGCATTGTGGTTTTCTTGTAAAACACTTAATAATAATATTAGCATTGTTTTAAATGTTAAATCAAATAATGGACTACTAGATTAATAGTCAAAAATCAATATTCTCTTTATAGCCTAAAATTAGTGAGTCAATCTGTATTACATGTTTTAGTTCTGTGTTTCAGAATTTCCTTCTACAGTATGACAATTACAAGAAACGTAACCACAATTTCCCAGATTTTCCATCATGATTACATATTCTTCCAGGCATTTTTGTAACCTTTTCCTGCCACATCTGTGGTGTTTGGGGTTTGTAGTTTTCAAAAGCCTGTAGTCAACAGACTTCACAAACAGTTTGAACATGCTGAACAACTGTAGAAAAAAAAAAACATGATTTTGTTTTTGATTAGATCACTGCTGCTGCTTTGCTCATGCCTTCAGTATTTTTTCATTTGACCTTAAAGACACATCTGCTGCTGCAGCAACAACAGAGTGCATCAGAATAGGAATTTTGCACCATTTTTATTCATGTCGCTATTTCGGATATTTCACAACAGCATGATACAAATACGCACAACTGATTTCTGTCCTCTGTGTTTAATTGTCTAATAAACATCTGAGCTGTTTGTTTAACCAGAGTAAAGATTGTTCTTTTATGAGTCTCTTTCCCCCTAATGGGTGTTCAGCTCTTGCCCCCAGATGTGCACAGCTGTCACAGCTGGGTAACACTCTTTGGACGCAGAGCAGCTGAGTTTACTGCTGCTCCGTAACAGCTGTAATTTGAAGCTCTGTGTCATTCTTCAACACATACGTGATACACAATAATAAACCAAGATTTTGCTGTTTTTGGGGAGATTGCTGCAGCCTAAAATGCCTGGTTTCAAGGCAGCTATTTTTAAAAAATTGCAATGTATATTGATGTTTTTAGGCATTTTTTGAGTTTTCAAGTGACAATTTTAAAAATTTTGTTTTTAGTATACCAAAGATTAATTAATAAAATTAAAGGTTTAATTCACGGGACTGGTTGAGTTTGCATTAATTGTTGCGATTGCAACATTGCAACTTCCTAGAGGGACTGGTAAATATATTAATTTATATGATCAGTGTTTGGTTGGTATCATAGGTCATAACAACAATAGGTCTGCAACAGTAAGCAACTCTATTTACCAAAAAGGATTATATCTTCCTCAACATTTCACTTTATTCTTTTGCCATTAAAATACTTTTTAAGCAAATCTAAAATCATCTTACCAATGATAATGATATCAAAATAAATCACAATAACGGTTGGTTGGTTTATATGCAGCAGAACTCTTTAAAGCATCTCATCCACTGGCGTCCTTTGGCTCAGAATAAATTACTCATGTGTGAATAGTAGCAACAGATTTTGAGTATTACAATACCTTTTGAGTTTGTCAGTAACAGTTTCTCCAAGATAATAAGCAGCATAATCATAAGTCCATGTGCCTCCGCCATGTCAGATAATCTGCTCTGAGTTGTCGATCTTGTAACAGTTTTGGCAAGCTGGTGTGAAAACAAGCTGATGTGCAATGAACTGTTTCTGTGTGATTCCACTTTACATCCTTCCTAACACTAATGAAACACTGACTAATTAACCCGGTGGGTAAAAGTTTAACCTGCCTCCTTGTCAATGCTTCACTACACAACACCTCTACAGAAACAGTTCACAAAAACACATGTAACACCTAGTATTCTTTTCTATTCTCGAAATATCATCTCTACAAAAGGATGTTCAGCAGTTGTATCTTGAAAGAAGCTCCTACAAATGACATATCCTCATAATGACAGAAATTGCAGTAATTTGAATAAATTCAACAAGAGAACACATCAGTTAAGGAAGCCTGTCGGTTTCTCCTGTGTGACAATCCTGTCACTATCCTGAAAAAAGTTACAATTAGTATGTTATCTGCACTTTTTGTGGATACCAGGACTCAAAACCTACAGATATTTCTAACATAAATTATATCCCAATATTAAAACATCTAATGGTAAAAATGTAACTTCCATTCATTTTATTAACCTAATGCAAAATGTTACATCTTTTTACAATTGGCAACCCACAATTCTCTAAACTGAGTTTTCCTCTCACATCCAAATCACTATTTTCTAAGTATGTTTTATCTATTTATCTATTTAGCATAAGCCGAGATTCTAAGGTAAAGGGACAGCTTTACTGCATGACATAGCACTATATGTCCTCTCTTGCAATCCACCTGAGAAATAATCTTTTTGCATGATTGATCCGTCCCTGTGTTAGTTCATTAATTTCATCCAAGAGGGACATCTGGTCATATGGCTGGTGGTCATAAACTTTTCACCTCAAATTTCAGTTTAATTTACACAAATTTTGTGTTTTATAAGTTTTTACAATAGTATGTAAATAATGAGGGTAAATACAAAATTAAGTGTAAATACAGAGATTTGGTGGCGGTTTAGTTTGAGTAAGAAAACTCTTTATGAGTTCTGAAAGATGATGACTGAATGCATTTTGTGTTCAATCAATGAATGAAAAAGTTATACACAGTTTAGTCCACATTTACTTGAGGCTGTTCTCTTACGGACTCTTCTTTTATTTGTGATATGATTGATTACAACTGCAGTACATTTCCTGGATTAAAGTGATAAATTAACAAAAAATAATATCTCAGAAATTGCTGTCTTGTTTCATATATGGATGGTTCCTTTTTGTTCAACAACATGGAATACATTGTATAGAAAATAAATCAGTGTGATGGTACATTATTAGAAAGTTTCAAAAAGTTTGGAATGTATCTATTTTCATATCTTGGCATTAACAGGAGGTTTGTGGCATAAATGTGGTTGTTCATTAATGAAAATGCACAATACAGTTCTTCACATACTATGACAGATGATGACCTCTAGAGGGCACAGATGAGATGCCACTTCCACAATGGCTGCCTGCTGTCCAGCAGCTGTGTGGTCACATGCACAAGAGAGCCAAGGTCCACGTGCGTGATTCTTTAAGATGGCACTGCTCATGTCTGCCCTCAATCAACTTTAATCCCAGATTAAAGAGACCATGCCAATCGAGTGGAGTCATGCTGTCCATGTTTTGGTTTCGTCATTGATTTTTTTATTAAGTTTCTCTTTCTCTGTTCCAGGTTTTCATTTCTTCCTTGATTTAATACAGTATCATTAGACGTGCTTGTTTCTATAAGCCTGTTGTATTTCCTTGTCATTTCGTATTGAATTATTAAGAATTTCCATTGCCTCAGTAGTTACTTTCCTTCACTATAATTGACTATTGGCACATTAAATCATATCATGCTGAATGTATTTCACGCTGCAGATCTATTATGAGTGGACAGCTTGCTGGTGATGTCATGGCATTAGTTTCTAAGCATTTAGAAAAATATCAAGAAACAAAATGAATCTCACATTAAGTTTGAGTTAGTTTTTTTTTTTTTGTCTGTATGGCTTTAAACTGTAAAAACCGTTTTGAAACTGACCTAAAAGTGCAGTTGGAAAAAATCAATGAAACAATGATGAAAAATCTAAATCAGTGTTGACAGACTAGAAATCAAGTTTATCAGAGGGAACAATGTTTGCCTGCCTTCAATATCTGAAGTCGTGTATCCTTTGATATGATATATGTATAGGCCTATCTAGGTCGAGGGACTGTTTTGTGGTGGCAGCCTGAACTTGGGGACATTTAGAGTCCCCAACCTACTAAAGTCAGGATGGGGAAAGTGGACAAACAGCTTTCCCCTCTCTTATTAACCACTGCAATGCGGCCACAGCCTTGTCAGTGTGTCCCAGCTGCTTCTGGAGCTGCCTAGCATCCAGTAGAGGATAGCCAGCTATATTTGACTGAATATGACCTCAAGGTGATGAAGTGACAATTAACAGTAAATGGCTACAGTTTGGTACATAATAACAGAACTGTTATACATTAAAATACATCTGCAACCAACGTTACTTTTGAGATGTCATTAAGCTTTCTATTTTTTAGATTTCAGTGTATGTTGTTGTTGAACTGGATTGAATTTTATTATAAAGAATTGCTTTTATTGTCCATAATGCAGCGGATCCTGTGGTCTAAACCACAATGCTAGATCACAAAGGAGGGTGCAGTCTAAGTGCATGAGCTGTTTCCATGTTGTGAATTATGTTGCATGCAGTTGCATTTGTACAAACACGAACTAATTGTATTCGTTCGGGAAAAACAGTTCAAAGCCTCAGTGTAGGAATCACATCCTCTGCCGTGAATAATATCTGCTCACTCAGGAGCTGCAAATGCAATGTTTTCATACGTTGCTCAGGCATATGCTTGCATTCTGCCCCCTCTCGATGGGATCATTTGCGTCCTCCCACCACAACTCGAGGGAAAATCCTGCAATGCATAAAAGTAGGCTACAGGCTTTTTATTTTTATCTGGTCAGAATGATGATGAAACTGCTGGTTGTATTATCCCCCTCCCCGCCCTGTGCTGCCTCCAGTTTGTAGGTTACTGAAAGATTTTACCAACCACAGATAAGAAGATTAGAGAGGAATTAATGGTAGGCTATTCCTTTGTCACTGTAGGAATAAATTGATATTTGGTTTTAAATCAGAGGGTGGGGACAGTGGGGAGCAACATGTTGTGTCAGGAGACGTAAGCAGAGGGATGGCACAGTGACAAGCAAACTCAACCAGGGGGGATGTCTGTGCACTGGAGTTAAGCACTGGATATCTCGACTGATGTTCACCATGTTAAAGGAGATGAAAGAGCCGGATAACGCAGAAGTAGCCGGGTGTGTGCGTGGTGGGGCAGAATGAGTGCTGCTGGGACATGGACGTGCCAGTAGAGGACGGGGACAGCTGTGGCATTCCCTGGGCGAGACACTAACGCAGTGGGAGGGACATTTGGGTTCCTCTCGCCTTTCCAGCCCCAGCTTAACCATGAGAGTGGTCCTCCTGGCCTTAAGACTGATGTGCTTGGCCTGGTTGTGGCCTGTCACCCAGCTCAACAGCAGCACAAACAAGAGGAGACACAAGGAGCTGTACATCGGAGAGAACACCAAACAAAAACATGGAGGGTGAGCCAAAGTGGGATTTCTTGTATGACATGTAATTGTGGACCTGCTTCTCCAGTTAAAATGTACATTTTGACACCTGACAGCAATATTTTGTGGCTTTCCTGTATGCTACTTTAGAATGTCATCAGAAATAAGCTTGTACAGGTAGGAGCAGGCGATAGGATCATGTGAGGTGAAAGATAAGCTGTGCATTTGACTTTCTCATTTCTAATAAAATTATATTCAGACTTCTCAAGTACATATCAATAATGTGCATATTACTTAGTGATTGGAAAAAGCTGTTATTTTCATTATTAAAATAGTATATTGCTGGTTCAAGACAATGAGGACAGATGGGCCTCTTAGAGCAAACAAACATTTCAGGTGCAAGAGAGGCCTCACAATATGTCCGACCCAGTTAAACCGTGTTAGATCAGTGTCAGTACCCTGAAAGTAAAAGGACTTTCATTTCCTTTAGACCAAGTCCTCTGGTTGTAATCAAGAGTGCTGAAGTCCAATTAACCATCACTAACTCCCTCGACCAGATGTCACTTCTGCTTTAAGTGTGTGTGTGTTAGAAAGAGGAAGATGGAGTTTCTACTCAAGCTTTCATTTGTTCTCTTTGGTTCTCAGACGGGTGGATCTTAAGTTGAAAAAGATGGACAGCACCAAGTCTATGCTAATTAAATCTGAGCAGCTGCTTCGGATTGAAGATCATGACTTTGCAATGAGGCCGGGCTTTGGAGGTAAGGCACACACTTAATCTATGTATTTTTACTTCACCTCTTCTAGTTTGTTTTTATTTTTCTTTATTATTTCTGATAACCATGTGCTTCTCTGGCAACTCAATAAGGTTAATGTAGGTTACTGTGCTGTCTTTGGTATTACGCTTTCCAAAAAAAACCCTTAGTGACCTAGATAGTCTACTGTGTGAGACAATGACTGCAGCCGGTAGTACAGATGAAATAATCTGAACTGCGTACCTAATTCTGTGTGGGGGGAAAGGGAAAAGAAGAGCCTGATGTTAGAGGATATTCAGAAACCTGTATTGTATAAGTCTGGAGTTCATTTTAATTTCTTGTTTTGGCTAGTAATTCCAGTAAATGGTGTACAGGAATAATTCAATTATCACTTTACATTCAAATAATCTTTTTTTGTGCTTCAGACTCTTCATGTTCACCGTGTTTGCAAACCTTTCCAATTTAACCTTGAATTCCACTTGAAGGCCCATTTCCTGCAGTCAGAAAGGGTTATGTAGGCTCAGTAAATTGAGTGGATGTCTCAATCCTGTCAGTGGGTTTCTCAGTTTTTAATTCTATCTCAGAAGTTATAATATATGAAATATTGTAACTTGTGAATGTGGCTGAGACTCAAAAGTAACAGTCCTTCCTGAGTACAAACCTGGCTCCCACCTGCCATTTAGTTACTGTAAGAGCAGTTGCGCCATATGACACAGCAAATATGCATTCTTGCACATAAAACATACATTGTGGGGGTGTTGTGCTGTGAGCAGTTGACTGTAACAGACTTCTTGTATGGCTGTGTCAACTCCATCATCGCCATTTTTTTTTTTTTGCAAACAATAAGTTCTTACAATATTAACAAAGTGTTGATAGCTGGACTGAATGTTTTGGAAAATGCTTTATGTCTTGTGTCGTGTGTTCTTTTTTATTCAATGCATCTGATTCTTTCCACTGCAGGTGTTCTTTGTTGGCACTGGAGAGTTTCATGTCCTGTCAAAGAGTTCAAAGAGCCTCAGTGACCTTGCAAAAAAATGAACAGGACTTGCGGGACCCTAGCTGCCTGATATAATCCCTCCCACTTCACTACTCTATTGTTATTGTAGACTGAACGGTTTTGAGTGCTTGCCTTCATTAGATAATGGCACAGAGAGAACGAGATGTTTACAGTACACATCATACGTTTACAGTATTCTGCCACTGGATGATGACATAAGGACCATTTCACTTGAATATTTATGCAAAAGTACAATGTGGTGGTATTTAACGTAGCATTGTAACAGTTCCATTTCTTGAGCAAACGTTTGGGTCCATCCACTCAGACTGCTGCACTCGCATTTGTGATTGCAGTCCAAGTTGAACCTCTTTGTTGTAATATTCAGTGATGAGCTGGTTCTTCTTTTGTTTTGTCATTGATCTGAAACAGGCAACTTACAGCCAGAAAAGCCTTTGTTGCCTGGCTCTGACCCCTTCTGTACATTTTGTTCCAGTATTTGTGTGGGTTTGTTCCAGGACACGTGGACTAAAATGCCCCATTGATAGGATTGTTAGTATCAGTGATTGTTGGTCTTAGTCCATGCTGGGATAGGCTTTGGACTTTTATTGAAATAGGCAGTATAATGACATAGGTTTTTCGACTGCAAAACACAAGGGATATTTATATCCATGTAGGTTGTCAGTGAGCGAGTATTATTCCCAGCATTATTCACACAGGCTGGATTTCACAGAAATGATAAAATCAGCTTTGGATCTATAGCATTTCTAAAGCTGTAATTTTCGCAATTACACAACTGTTACAAATAACATTATGTAAATTCAATCTATACGGTCTCTTAAGGTGATTTAGTCGCAGATTTTGACAGCAGAACAGTTAGTTATCTTCTGAAAAACATACAATTGTTGGAGTTTCTCGGAAAATAGTCTTAGTAGTTCCCAGACATGTATTTCATAATACGGTTTGGTTACTTATAGCTCATCCAGAAAATGAAAAGCTGATTACAAGCTATAAACCTTCAAGTATTTTCGTGGCATTTTATCCGTGCTTCCTGAGTGAGCAGCAGACCTGTAGAGATGAGAATGGGCATCACTGCTTCACCCAAGGCTGTGTATCTGATGTTGTAGATATACAATATTTATCAAAAGATATCAATGCAACTTTAAGCTGACTCATGCTTAAGAACCAGCATTATGTCAGGGTCATCACTTTCATTCAACCTTTTGTCTCTGTTGTCTTTACAATGTGGCTTATGTCTTATAGCTCAGCAGTGGGATTTACACATATATAATCTCTGGCAGATGTGCAGACAGATGATTCATGGAGGATGTGATCCAACTGTTGCTTAAAGCTGATGTATTATAGCGTTTGACCTTTTGCAGGTTCAGCTATTCCTGTTGGCATCGACGTCCAGGTGGAGAGCATTGACAGCATATCTGAAGTAAACATGGTGCGTGCCGCTAGGATTGTACAGCTATACAGTCTCTCCTTTCCTCTGTTGGGCTTTAACACCAGTGTTTTTTTCCAGGACTTCACCATGACTTTGTACCTGAGGCATTACTGGCAGGACGATCGCCTGGCCTTCCCCTCCAGCAGCAACAAGAGTCGTACCTTTGATGCACGTCTTGTGAAGAAGATTTGGGTTCCTGACGTGTTCTTTGTCCACTCTAAGCGTTCTTTTATTCATGACACAACCATGGAGAACATCATGCTGAGGGTTTATCCTGACGGCAATATCCTCTATAGTGTCAGGTAAAGAAAATATATTTTATGTTAGTCATGAAAAGATTAACAGCATTAAAGTAGAAATAATTAAAGTGAGAATGACTACTATGGCTACAAGTGGTAATTACAGGATAATTTCCCAGAATTTTTTTCAGCCAGTTGCTTTAAAGACATTGGCTAACACAGCATATCAGGCCAAGTATATCTGTAGCAGCAAAAAAACAACATTGATTGAAATAAATAAGGGTATTTTTTATTGCATATGAATTCAACAATATGTAAGAGGAAAAGTGGATCAGTTCTAATTTCAGTGGTCACATAGTCTTGCTTTAATGACAAATGTGCGCATAAATAATTGAAGACGTTATGATTTGAATATTATTAAAATGTTTTGAAGAGTCAACCAAGATATAAAACAATTCACTACCACTGCAAGGTTTAATGGGCAAAGCCTGAAAGGAATATGAGAGGGTGGCCAGTAAGCTTTCAGACTGAGATCATCATATCCATTTCAGCTACAGATGTCGACAATATGGCGTCTTTCCTAACAGCTTGCTGCAGCCACAGAGCCAGTCAGACAGAAAAAGACTGAACAGATCAGTCCAGTAGTTTTGTTTTATACTCTTGTTAAAATCTTATTACAGTAGCTGGTTGACTGAGGTTAATCAGTTCACTTGAAATATGACATTTTCTGTGAACTGCTGATGCTGAATGATTGCTTGATTTATGTGGGTGTTTCTTTAACTGTGAGTTGTGTTTTAGGATCACTGTGACTGCACTTTGTTCAATGGACTTCAGTAGTTTCCCTCTGGACACACAGAATTGCTCTCTGGAGCTAGAGAGCTGTGAGTATCAAACTACAGTTGGGATATTGCTATTTCAAATGCCTAATGTCCAAAGCAGTTTTAAGAGGACTTAGGTTCATTTTGTTACATTAAACATGTACAACAAATCCACTTTACATAATGTTGACATGTTTTGCTGGAAAACATATTACACAACCTTTGCAGTGATTTGTAGTCTAAAGGCACAAGCTAGTGATGCTTCTGAGCTCACTAGATCAAACAGCACCCATGTTAGTAAAGCACCATTTATAAATATACTACCTTTAAGCATTGTATTGATGGGACAGAAACACACTGTGCAGCTCACAGTGCGTTAAAGTACTTCATAAACACACAGTAACCATCACCATCTTCTTTTAGCATGGAGTAAATAAAATCATAATCCTCTACCAGGTCAATCTCTGTCTATTATACATGTCAGTCTTTCTGATGCAGGATTTATTTTTTTTCATTCTGCTCTGCTCTGAAATTGAAGTTGGTCAAAAATGACGACAGAGTCAGGATTACTTTCTGCGTAGAGTTTAGGGATTTTATTTTTTCTTTCTGTCCTGCTTTTTTCTCTTTATCGCTATTTGTCTGCCTGAAATTATTACATGGGTAAAGCATGGATCCTGATCTCAGAGGAGAGTCGGAGTCCCATTTCTGTGCGCTCTTTCCTCTCCTCTGAGAAAAACATCCATGATTCTTCTAAGAGAGGCAAAATTTGAAGGTGTCATCTCCCTCTCCTTCTCCCTCCTCCCCTTCTCTCCTCTCTTGAAGATGCTTACAATGAGAACGATCTAATGCTCTACTGGAAGAACGGGAACGATTCATTAAGGACTGACGAGATCGTGCTCTCTCAGTTTTTTATTGAAGACTTCCAGCCTTCCTTTGGGCTTGCCTTCTACAGCAGTACTGGTATGTGAGGTTGGAGGCTTGGGTCCCTCTGAGGTGTACCCGGTTTGGGAACAACCAGAGAGCTCCTCATTTCATTAAAATCCTCATCAAAAAAAAAAAAAAAAAAAAAATAGGAATGTTCCAGATGTTTAAATACAGTATTATATTTCTAAACCCTCAGACTAGTTAGATAATAAGATTGGTACAACTCTCGTATTTCTTAATATGAAGCTACAGCCAGCCCCTTGTTAGCTTAGCTTAGCATGACAAGCCTAAGCAGGGGAAAAGAGCTAACCTGGATCTGTCCAAAGGTAATAAAACCGGCATGAGCATCTTTAAAGGTCACTAATTAACAGGTTATTTTGTTCAGACAGAGCCAGTCTAGTTCGTTTCCAGTCTACTAAGCTAAGCTAAGCAAAGTGGCTTCAGCTTAAAGGTTCCATATGTAACTTTTAGAAAACCGTTGTTAATAGGGACACCAGTGGCCGTTAAGTGAACTGCAGTCAGACAGCTTTACTATCTGCAATCTTCCTATATTTTATTGACTTCATGATAGTGAGTAGCTTGCTGTTCACAAATCACCCCTTCAGCCAACAGCCCAAAGTAACCAATGCAATTGTTTGCTTTGTACCTTTACCATACCTTTGTTATGTTGCATCATTTATTGTTGGCTTAAACCATAATACATAAGATCATGTTAGCTGGGGAAGTAGTTTTGTGAGCCAACTAACATATCTACTTGGAAAGTAGAGCTAAGGTTAGCGAGTCGGCTGCAACCCAGCCGACAGACTAACCTGCAGACGGCAATCCAGCCAGATCAGCACCAAGAGTCTGCATGATGTCAGCGGGCTCTATTTATTATTTTATTAAGTTAACGTTAGCTGTTGAACACTGTTGACACTGTAATGAAGCGGAGAGAGAAGGCACACAAAGGCGCACATAATCGTCACATCCTTTGGATTTTAGAGGAAAATCCGTTGCGCATTCCTACATAGAAATGTATATAAATCGCTCCACAGGCAACCAAGTTTTTAAATGACGTTACTTTGCATTCATTTATTAATAAATAAAAATAATATGTAAAATGCTTCAGAATCTTACATATGGGACCTTTAAATACATTATGTAATATGATAACAGATGGTGAGGAGGGTGTGTGTGTTGTGTACACAACAATTTATAGTAAAATGGGGACAGACTGTGTTTGTACTAAAATCATTACAGTAACATTGTAGGACCAATATTAGCCTACATTTTATTCTTTGTTAAAATATTGAAATAGTATCTCTAATAGATCAATTAAAGACCATTACTAAATAGAAATTAAAGGATTTAAGGCTCCCCATCTCTTCATAGGCATATGGCAAATAAAATAAATTATAATATTATATGTAAGATATTGCTGTGTGCCTTTGTATTTACAGCATTAAATGTAATGTAATACAGCTTCTTTGAGATCCTGCTACTGCTGACTGCTAAGCCCACTTTTTGAAACCCTGCCTGCTTCTTCTCTCACATTTTCAGTGTGAAAAAGAAAGATAGAAAGGGGGCCAGGGAGATTTTCTTCTCAGTGTAAAATAATCTTGTGGGGACCTATCCGCTCTAAGAGGTTGTTATATAACTTCAGCTCTAGACAGATCTACCCCAGAAAATACTTACCTTTCTTCTAAGTTCTTTCTGTCCATCTTGTACTTTCTTAGATTGACAACTAGCACAATCCTGTGCATGTGTAACATTTCCCAAAGTGATTGTCTTGTTTTCTCCTGTCATCCACTGTTATTATTCCCCTGCTCCACACCCTGCCTGCCTCCCCTTTCTGTCCATTTATCTCTGTTTCAGGTTGGTACAATCGGCTCTACATAAACTTCATTCTCAGGAGGCATATCTTCTTCTTCATGCTTCAGACTTACTTTCCCACCATGCTGATGGTGATGCTGTCCTGGGTGTCTTTTTGGATAGACCGGAGGGCTGTACCTGCCCGTGTCTCTCTGGGTACTGAGACCACATTCACACATGTTGTAAACACACGTTTTACATTATGCACAACTGAAAATGATGGACAGATTATTGTAAACAATGAATTGTACTGTAGGCTATGTATCTTCATCCAAATTGGTACAAATATATCACTACGACTAGTTTTTTTGATTTGTTTAAAGAAATAATTACATTTTGGAAAATATGCTTATTTGCTTTCTTACTGAGAGTTTGATTTATACGTTAAATATGAAGAAGCAGTCAGCTGGTTAGCTTAACTTAGTGACTGAACACATGGGGAACACATACCCTACCATCTCACCTCTAATTAATGTGTTATAACTGTTTAATCCTTGTTCTCCTTTAGCTTCACATTTATCGAAGAGACTTGAAAGTTATCAGGAAGAAAGCGAATAGGCATGTTTTACAATGTTGAGCTATTCCTGTAAGCTCTTTGGTGGTTAAAGTTAGGTAAAGTTATTTCAGTTAAAAGTAAAATGGCATTTTTGTTAATTTTTCTTACTTTATGGTAGAAAAACACAGGTTCAAGTCTAAATGGTCTGCTGCTTTTTTGTGCGCATTAGAGATAAAATATTAAATGTATTTTCCTACAAATAAATATTAAAATGCTAAACAAACTGCGACACCAATACACAACTGAGATAAAAGACTGGGAAATTATTGTTAAAGTACAACCAGATATAATATTCATACAGATATTTTTTACCATTTAATTTGGGTATCTTATTGTTGCTTTGTCTATTGGTTATCAATCCACTATAGTATGGTGGTGTGTGATCTGGTGATTTCTATTCACCAGTGTAGTATGATGCATCCAAACAATGGATATTTAATACTCATGATGTGTTGTGCTGGTGCTTTCTGTATCCAGGCATCACCACCGTTCTGACAATGTCCACCATCATCACCGGTGTCTCAGCCTCTATGCCACAGGTGTCTTACGTCAAAGCCGTAGACATCTACTTGTGGGCAAGCTTCCTGTTTGTCTTCCTGTCTGTCATCGAGTACGCTGCTGTCAACTATTTCACCACAGTGGAGGAGATGAAGAAGCTCAAGAGTGCAAAGGTCATTCATATTTAGTTGTTTTTGTGGCCTCAAATGTCTCCTTAAACCTCATGTGACATGTTTGACCCGCAGAAAATCATTTTCTGACATCTGGAGCTCGCTGACCTCACATTCTAACTCTCCTCTCCTCCCCCTGTCGCTGCAGATCCCCAACTACAACGCCAGCCAGGCTATGGCGTTCGACGGTTGTTTCCATGACAACGAAATTGACCTGACTTCTTTTCCAGAGGTCTCCAGCACCCCAAACACAGAGAGGAACACCCAGTCTCGAAACTCTAATGCCTCTGCACCCACGGAAGGCACCAGGCTACGCCGCAAGCACCCTTTAAGACAAAACCTCAGCTTCATAATGAGCAACAGCTACATGATCGACTCCTACTCCAGAGTCATATTTCCCCTGGCTTACCTGCTCTTCAACATAATTTACTGGAGTATGTATGCATAGTACATTAACTGCGCAGCAGAATAAACAGGATTCACCATTATACAGTGTAACACCAACAGGCTGCAAATACGCTCAAGTTTGCACAGCGTCTGCCAGATATCTTGCATGATGTCTTCTACTCAAGAGGTCTTCAGTTGTAACTTGGAATCAAAAAATCTGAGATCAGCTGTTGCGTTGAATGGCTGCAATTTTTGCGGATGTTTATGTGTTTTTAGCATGCCTGTTTTATAAGAAAAAGTTTTGAACAAACAAATATATTTACATTTTTAGGATTTTATTTTATTGCTTGATTAGAGACAAAACATTAAATTGTATAATTACTGTACAACGTCTTGAAAAAATAAATGTATGCTCTTAAAAGATGTGTGTTTTATTTAACTCGGGCAGCATACATCAATTTACATTAATGTGATATAAATGTGCTAGGTTTAGCCACAAGGCCTAGGCACACAAAAGAAAATCTGAAGGAGAAGATCAAGTTTATTCTTGACCTGGAAACAGGAGTTCAGAAATTAATTTCACCACAAGGTTAATTTAGAAGTGGTTCCAGAGCTTTTGATCATATCACATCATCAGCAGATGAAGATAATGAAATCATTGATGTTCACTTCATCCACTTTCACTGCCATTTTCTCTGAGCAGTAATTGATTGTTTGGGGGCACAACACTGATATATGATCACTTTTTAAGTTGTTAAAGGGAAGGTGTTCAGAAAAAGTTGTCTATGTACTCATACAATAGATACCGAGCAACATTATCATTCATTTGGCAAATGTAAGTTCAATAGTAAAGTTAAGCTCTGTTTTTGGACTCCACAAACTCTAACTGCTAAATGCTCACCAGTTACTCACTAACTGTGCCTGTCTACCATTTGTTTCTGGGTAAGTAGTGTAGGTAGAGACTTTTTAGAGCTTTTTCACTGCTGCTGCAGCCACGAGTGAACTAACACAGCAAAGTTGCAGCCTTGAAACCAAAACAATGGTTATATTAACATCTACTAAATGGACCTCGTGGTGAGAATGTTTTCTTATCTAATTAATACTGTGGATAGAAAACAAACATACAAGCCCCTAATAATGTTTGGTATTGCCTAAGTGGGACAACAGTGACTATATTTTAATATCTCTTGGTGAAGATTTATACATGTAAATATATATGTACAATATACTCAAAACTTTGTCCACACAATTACATGCTATACTGTTTACAATAATACACAATACGATACAATACAAACAATATTTTAAACTAATTTCTATAAAATAGCAATTAGTAAATGAGGACTGGAGAGTAGGAGAAAATATGGAGAGAGGGGATTAAATGCCATAAAGTCAGTTATATTCAGTTGCATAACATTGTGCTGTGTACATGAAGCCAGCAGGACGTCAGATTCATCAGAGGTGATTGATGGATAATGTGATGAATAACAATAATGAAAAAGTGATGGAACACCAGAACCAGCTGTTCAAAAGGTTCAGCAGGGGACATAAATTCAAAATAATAGCTAAAAGTGACCATTAGGTATTTAAGCTTTTTCTTAAACTTTTAAGGCAATTTAAAAATATATATACATATATTATATATATATATTTATTTTGATAAAAATATTTAACTGGTTTCCTGGCATCTTCATGCTGTCGATAGGATTGTTGTTTTTACGCTTTTGTGCAGATTTAACAATGTGTTAATGAGTGACCTTTAGAGGTGCTGGTATGCAGTTTTTTTTTTTTTAAATCTTTGAACAAAGCAAGGCTTGCAGTTTCCATATGTTTCAAGTATTTATGCTAAGCTAAGCTACATGTAACTGACAGACATGAGAGTGGTATCAAACTTCTTATCTAACTCTTGGCAAGAAAGCAAATAAGCACATATGCCAAAAAGTCAAACTATTAATTAAAAAGGGTATTTACACCTTCAAATGTTATATATACTAAATTTACTTGCTATAAAGCATCAGCATCTCAGACCAAAACAATGGCTGACCAGACTCAACAGACAAGACCAGTAATTTAAAATAAAAGCAGAAAAAAAAAACTCACCAATAACATCTTTGTTAGTCTTACTACAGTCTTTAATCACCTATTATGGTTTGGTCAAAATAAATCCTTCATTCACTGAAGTAGATGAGAAAAACAGCAGTTTCAGTCAACCTCAGTTGTACATGGAGGGTCTCACATGCACTAACATGCAGGTCTGACAAAACACAGAGAGGCTGGGACAGCAACACGGGCAAAGGGAGAGTGACGTCATTTTCATGGACGCCATTACTCATCAATAGTTTTACATAGCAGATAATTGTTTGCTGCTATATTAATGTTCTACAACTCATATATAAAACCTTTAAGGTAAGGTATGGGAAGAAGTATAATTCCGCTTGCGCAACTTGTCAGATCTCTAGGCGTCTGTCTCCCAAACTGCTTAAAGAGAGGCAGAGAAACAACCTGTCATAGGTTACAAACATCCTCCACAGTGACGTGCCAGAGCTTCAGTAATACAAATCTTGTTGACTCCTCTAGCACCCTGTTTATTTGATGCCACAGTAGTCTGTCATACGAGTAATGACGTATGGGTGTGACTGCACTTAGTGATCTCGGAAGATGTTGTGAATGCTGCAGTATCTGACAAAAACATCATGCACAACGACCAGCAGCTTAATCTTAAACTGTTAAAGACATTCACCCTTATCTAATTTCAAACAGAATAAATGAGCCCTACAAAGATTAAGGTTTTTGAAGTTGAAAGAAACTATTTGGATCTGCTCTGCCATCACTGTGTCCTCCAGACTCCCCCTGGTGTACAGATAGAGAACTACAACTTGTATTACTCAGTTTAATTTTTTTTTTATTTACAGGAAACTCAAACTGGTTCAGCAAAACTTTTTATTAGTTGATGACACAAAAAGTAGTATCAAGAAAGTAAAAAAGGCATTAAAAGTAAGGCACTAAAAAGAAAAATAATCTTATAAAGCATGTTTTGCGTTAGAAAATGAATCTGTTTTTTTTTTTAAAAATCTAACTTTGTCTTAATAAGATATTACAGCTAACAAACAAGTAACAATGAACAATCATTTCACTTTTTTGTTATTTATAATTAATCTTAGATTAAGGTACAACTTCTTAAATTTAGCTCAATAAAGTGACCAAAAAAAATAAAACAATAAATAAAATATTTTTTTTATTGTAGTTTTAGTCTTTTAATGGCTTCTTATGTTAGTTTTAAGAATTATAGCCAAGCAAAACTGACTTACCCCACTGGCAAATTTGCTCAATACAAGAAAATGTGATTATATTTAAAAATATTTAGTTTGTTTCTGCAGTGCAGTTTGACCCCTGAGCTTCCGGAGGAAGCCTGCAGGTCCTGTTTTCTTTCCATTTATGACGCAAAACTATTTTGTTTTTATCCCATAACAGGTTTGGTTGCTTTTTATATCTATTATTAAAACATTTACTTATTAATTTTTCTTTTTGGATCATCCTTTTCTTGTATACTCAAGTCAAGTCATTGTATGTGACTTTTAAAGATAATCTCAATATTAAGTCATCTGCACACACGCCCAGGTGAGCGTAATCTTCAGGGTGTAACTGTATTAAATATGGTGTTTGCTTAGCTAAATACAGGTTATAGAGTCACAATAATGGAGGAAATCATTTGTTTGTGTGTGTGTGTGTGTGTCTGTGTGTTATGTTAATGAGTGCCGATGTGGCGGTGCGTGACAGACAAGTCTCTCCCATTCAGGGTCCTGAAAAGCAGGTGCATAACATTACAGACTGCTGCAGGTGCGTAAGTTCTTCTGACGCAACAGTAAAATGTCTCAACACCAGGACTCTCAGCTCTGTAGTGTTACCCTGGAAACACTTGTTCATAACCACGTCTGTCACTCAGCACAGTCACAGGCTGACTTAGGCCACACCCTGAGGCGCACCCTTACTGCCAAACAAAAATAGAAAAACCTCAATCTCTTCCCTTTCAGAAAACATACATGGAAATTAGTGGTGTACAGGAATTGTCCTGCGTGATAGTACAGCACAGTGCGCGTGTTCTGATCTTGTATAAAATCCACTAATTTCCAGTTCATTAGAAGGACAATTGTTGAGTGAGACTTACTTGAGGTAAAGTGAATGCGTGCAATGTTCACCTGTTCAGGTTGGCGTATTAGGGGCGTGCCACATGTGACAGCTATTGATCCTGTGTGAGAAACACACTCTCACAGTGAACTCACACAGCAGCCTGCTAACAGCAATAGCAGCAGTGTCGATTAAGAGGAGGAATATCTAACGTGTTGGGGTTTGGCTTTTCTTTCAAGTGCTGGATTTAGCCCAAGGATAATTATGTTCCATAAAAATGAAAATAAAGTTCCCAGCGGGAGTTCTGACGGACCTTCAGGTTGGCAGGCTGTCAGGTAAAGTTGTGGTGGTGGTGTGTCTCCTTTTCCTTAATTCCAATCACAGATCATCCCACAAATCAGGCAGATCTTAATTTAGGATTACTTATCAGGCTCATCTATTTAGATACACAGACATAACTTCAGTGCCTTTATACTTGAACTTCCTTATTTCTTGATTCAAACCACCAACCTAATCACTTTTTTGTTTGTTTCTTTTCCTTTTTGTCAAATTATCTTTGTTTTTTTTTATTCTTTTGCTTTGTGAATATACTGTTTAATATTACTTTTCTATACTTAAGTATTATGTGCAGTTACTGATAATCTGTCTAAGAATATATGAAAGCATGTATCAGCAACAGTGTGGTGGAACAGTGATGCTCAGATCACATTAAGGGGCTGAAGAAAACTTTCTAAGGAAAGATGGGTCCACAGATTCTACAAACTTACACAAAACTTCTGGATTTGTGAGGCAAGACAACATTGTTCCTCTCTTCAGTCGCTCTTAGTTTTGAATATCACACATTAACATGGCTTCAACTTGACAATCTGTCTGCTCCATCCAGGAAACTTTTTGAAGATGTTTGTGAAACTCGCCGTGAGAGGGAGTGAATGTTTTTACTGATACTAAAATAACCACAAATCTTTATAGTCACTCATGTAGTCTATCAACCTGTACTTTACTGTTGCTACATCTCATTATATGAAGTTTAATTTTATTTCTGTTGATATGTCTGGACCACCTGTTTTGGTTTTTAAGTAAAACATCTGTAGAATCAGTCCACATATTGTGTTGCTTTATTTAATTTTACTTTGTGATTTTTAAATACATCAACACAAATGTTTAAAATAGAAAAGAAGGCAGTTAAAGTTAACTGAAACTTCTATTCCCACAGCACTGTTTCATTCACTGCATGGTAACAGCACTGCGTCACTAAAGATGTAAACACCTCTGAAACATTCTGGCCCAAGCAAACATTCACCATGTGTGTCTATACAGTACAGTATGTGCTACTCTCTATATATTAGTGTTTCCCAAAGCTGTGATAAAGGTAATGTGTTTGTACACCGATTATACTCAGAGGTGTGTCTGAACAGGAATGCATTCAAGCATTAATTTCACATGATTCATTATTATTTTTTTCAGGACATTGCAAGATATGGTTAATTGTCCGAATGTTCAGAAGCAAACATAAAACCTTTCAGACATATTTACAGGGAAGGCTAATGAAAGCAGACATTAGCAGGGGTGTGATGGGAAGAGTTGTTCATGATTATGCCTGAGAAGTTTTTTGTATGACTCACTCTTTCACTCCTTTGAACTGATGTGTACAATCAAAAAATGTCACTATAGTTGAGCTTTTTCAGACAGTTTCATTTCATCTAAGTCAATAACCCTTTTTTGTTGTATTACAGAATGAAGAAGCCCAGCTCATATATCAGACATCCACACTGGTTGTACGTACAGCTGCTGGTCGTCCTACTGGCAGGTATGCTCTGACATCAGCTATGACAAGTTAGAGTAAAACAAAAAAAGGCTGTTTTTGTACACAATGGAGCAGCAGCTTCTGTTATCTTATCTGGACGGACAACTCTGCACCTCTATTTATAAACTGTAATGTCTGACATGCCAGTCATTCAACGTTTGTCATGTAACACATGCACGCACACACACAATGAATGTACTTTCTTTCACAATTTATTCCATAACCTGTTGTTCTTGTCTGATTGTTGTCTGCTTCCCAATCACACAAAACTTCACAGTACTGTAACTTCTTTAAATAGGAAGGCGGAACAATTCTGTTTCATTTTATTTATTTATTTACCCATTATCAAATACCACTGTAAGTATCTGTCTTTAAAATCTGCAACAAACCTTTATACATTCATTAATTAAATGTAGTATTGTAAATTAGAGCCAGGGTCTGTCTGAGGTTTTATCCTCCTAAAAGGAAGTTTCTCCATAATTTTATAGACCTGCTCTATTTAAAAAGAGATAACTTTTGTTATGAATTGGGGCTATACAAATAAAACTGAACTGAATTGAATTAAGACATTCTCATGTGTAAATGTCCAGTGTCAGTGCTATACAGTGTTATGGCTGTAGGTCATAATCATTAAACTGAAGTTATATAAATGAAGTTTGAATTTCCTCTTTGTTGTCCCCCCCATCAGGTCAGGCTTCCTGTAATCACACATCTGCTGCTCCTTCCCTTTTTTCTGCTACAACAAATGCACCGACTTCAGGTAAACAACAACCCATCCTACTCACTGCCATATCAGTAGAAATGTCTGTAATCAGAGAGGGCCAAAAATATTCATTTAACTGCAACGGTCACTCACAACCTGTCCTCCAGTCTTTTCTCATCATACTGCTGCTGCAACCATCTATTATAATGAGTCACTGGTTGAAAATGAAAACCAACCTGTTCAATCCAAACCTCTCTCATCCATGCAGGTCTTAGTAACAGATGAAGACTAATGACAGGACACAAGACATGTCACACAGTAGAGATAAATGATCATTACTCTGTGATGTTGAATCCAGGAGCAGTGGAGGAATTTTTTTTTTTTTGTGGTAGATGACAAGATTGATACCAATCTCTCAACTGAGCAGCCGATTAGCTTAGCTTAGCACAAAGACTGGAAGAACTAGCCAGGCTCTTTCTAAAGGCAGCAAAATGAACTTACTAGCACCTCTAAAGCTCGCTAATAAACATTATCTTGTTTGTTTAATCTGTAAAAAATCCAGTCAGGCTATTTCTCTCTGCTTTCAGTGATTACGCTAAACTAAGCTAAGCTAACCTGTTGTTAGCTGTAGCATCATATTTACACTCCCTCTCCCCCCTTTCCTGTCTATCTTCACCAGTCCTTTCAAAATCAAGGCATAAGTAGCAGTTGGGGGAAATTAGCTTTAGAGAAGTCTTTAAAGTCACGTGTGACCCAAATTCCCAAGTATTTTAACTTTAGTAAGGGGTATTTTCTCTGTATTGCCTTAATGCTGGCTTCACCACACAATATGATGGCTGAAAATGTTTAACAGTGTCACTTTAAAGCGTAAGTCCACCAGACAGGTTCACATATTTTCTGTCTTAAAACAGTACTGACAGTGCTGACAGTCCCATAATTACCTGCCCGTACTGACGGTGAGGAGTCCTCATTCTGTGTAAAAATCAGGGACGGCTGGTATATATGGGCTAACAGGGCTAAGCCCCCCCTATCTTTTACAGTACTATTATTAAAAACCTTAAACATATTGTTTGAATTTTAGGTAGCAATCCTAGACAGCAACGCACCAAACAGTGACCAGAAAAAACCCAGGATAATCGAAATATCTTCCATGTGAAATGGGCTAAATTCATTCAGGCCCAAGTCAGTAGTGTAAGCTTCCACTGACTTTTGTATTGACAGGTGTCCTGACACGCTCCCCTTTATTACGCTGCCTAAATTCATTCAGCCAAAGGCTGAACCTTCGACCATACAGCGCCAGTAGCTACAGTACAGTGATCTTCAACCAATCACAGCGCAGTAGTACAGTACAGCGATTTCGACCCAATCACAGCGCAGTAGCTACAGTACAATGAGGCTAAGTTTTTACTACAAAATGTAATATGAAAATCACTTTACTAATCATGAAACCTGTGAAAACTAGCTGTATAATTCCTCTGTGGTTCTGGGATGTGGATAATCTAGGTTATCAGCTTGGGTTTTAAGAATACCAAGTTTAAGACAGAAGCCTGTGTTACTAACTGCTGACACAAGCTTTTAAAATTGGTTGCTATTGGTTACAATTTATGGCTAATACAGGACCAGGGTAGTACTTGGTATCTGCTTCACTTATTTATGAATATTTTAAAACTGTCTCCTTACTTCTTCTGTTGTCCTTCCTTATGGAGTATACTACTTTGTTCATGTCACTCGTGGATGTCACATGGAAAGGAGAAGAACGGCATCAGAAATTTAGGCCTGAGGTATGGAAAAACTGGTTATGGAACTTAGTTGTTTAATTAAATAATAGCTATATATGTTTATATCTTATGATTAAATATGATTGAGTTCGTTTCTTTTTCTCAGCTAGCGTCCAGGTGTTCCCAAAAAACCTGGAGAGGCTGCTGTCTCCAAAACCATGAAAGAAACAACTGCCCTATCCTTACCTCCCACAAACATACATCTGCAAGGCATCATATGAGACGACCACTCAACACGACAGCAGCAACAATTACAAAGCAACAACACAACTACAGCTTGCAACGTCAACAACGTTACTTAAGCAACAACACAAACTACACTGCAACGTCAACTGCGTTACTAAGCAACCAACACACTACAGCTGCAACGTCACTGTGTTACTAAAGTAACAAACACAACTACAGCTGCAACAAACAACTGCGTTTACTAAACAACCAAACACTACAGCCTGCACAACAACCAGTGTTACTAACAAACACAACACAACTACAGCTGCCAACGTCACTGCGATTACTAAGTAACAACGCAACTACAGCTGGCAACACAACAGGTTACTAAACAACAACACCATACAGCTGCAATCAACAACAGTGTTACTAAGCAACAACACAACTACAGCTGCAACATCAACCTGTTGTTACTAAGTTAACACACAACTACAGTTGCAACAACAACCGCGTTACTAAACCAAACAACACCACTACAGCTGCAAAAACATGTTACTAAGCAACAACACAACTACAGCTGCAACATCACAGCAGTGTTTACTAAGCAACAACACAATCTACAGCTGCAAACAACAACAGCGTTACTAACCAACAACACCACTACAGCTGCAACAACAGCAGTGGTTACTAGCAACAACACAACACGCTGCAACATCAACAGCGTGTACTAAGCCAACAACACAAACTACAGCTGCAACAACAACAATTTTTTCACAAACCGTCAGCACAACTGCGGCGCAACCTTAAACAACGTTACAAACCCGTCAGCACAACTGCTGCTGCAACCTTAACAACGTTACAAACCCGTCAGCACAACTGCCTGCTGCAACCTTAACAACGTTAACCGTCAGCACAACTGCTGGCTGCAAACCTTAACAACGTTACACCCGTCAGAACAACTGCGGCTGCAACCCTTAAAAACATTACAACCCGTAAGCACACCCGTCAGCACAACTGCTGCTGCAGCAAATCAGTTAACCGCAGTGATCTCTTTGCTCAATTCCAGTGTGATCATACAGGTGCCCGGAATTGGAGAAAATTCCATTTCAGTCAAACGAGTAGCTCGTGAGATTCTTGCTGCTGTGCCACAAACCAGGTATCACTACAATGATTTCTCATAAAATTAATAAATAAATGAATTAAAGGGTGACTACCACTCACTCTTTTGTTTGTGTTGTTTGTGATTTAGTACAAAAATGCTTCTTTTTCTACACTGAATAGGAAAAATAACAGGCATTAAGTCAAGGCCAGATGACCACCACTAGAGCCGAAAGGGTCTGTCCTAGGTTTCCTGCCTGTTAAAAGGCAGTTTTTGGCGCTATACAAATAAAATTGAATTGAATTGAATTGAAAAACTAACGGTTGTAATTATGCTGTGCTAAACTTCAAACTTCATATTTTTTTGTGAAAGGTTCTAGGAACAACTACCTTGTATGTGATTTGTTGTATTTATGATTTAAGGTGAGAGTATTTATTTAGCTGAACAGTGATTACAAGATGATGACACAATGAATATTACTTCACTTCCTATTACCCTCTTGAGTCACTCAATTTGCTTCTGCCATAAAGCCGCTGAAATATCCATTGTATAGTATAGTGGTCATACCAGACACTGTAGTAACAAAACCACAGGGGGTATTAAATTACGCAAGCATGTGTTTGTAAGAGAAAAAAAAAAACTTTTTTAAAGTTATATAGACTTGCTTTAAAGCAATTTTGTTTCTCATTAATGTTGTCTCACTTTATTTTTCAGTGGGGTTACCAGTGACAACACAACTGGCTTATTTCAAGTAAGTTAACTTTTACATGTATCTGTGTGTGACAGTACGTGGATAGAAGGATTTTTTATATCAAGATTTATTTATGTTTTAACAGGGAATTGAGGTGACCTGCGCCATGGAGACCGCAATAAGGTAAGTGACAAAACAAACTGTTTTCAAATGACTTAAACAAGTGTAAAGAACGTTAACATTATTAACACTGACCTTATACTTCAGAAACACCAACTGTACTCTGATGCTGAAGCTAAAGCAGAGCGTACCTCCATGCTGTATCCTCCGCACACTCTGTGCGGCCAGCAAAACATCCTCTAACATCACTGTGCTGGGGAAAAAAGCAGACAGGACGAGTGAGTATTGCATACTCTGAAATACAGAATTAACCTACCTAATAACTTTGCATAATGTAATTAACCCTCTGTGAACAGGTGAGCTGCAAAATGAGTGCAACAGCAATCCACTGGAGGAAAACAGTTGCATTTATACTGGTCAAACTGGTGCAGCATGGTAAGATGTTTGGTATTTCTTCCCATTTCTAACCACAGCAGTATTTTCTAAAGCATTATCTGCATGTAATGTATTGCCTTTGCATTTTTGTAACATTTTATGAGGTTACTGGGTGCTACACACTTATTGTGTTTATCAAATGTGGTTATCTTTCGACAGTGATGAGTCTGGGCCTGTATATACGGTTGTTCAACACAACTCAACCCAATGTGAAGGTGAGTTCTGATTTCCTTTAACATCAAACAAAGTAAAGGAAGTATTCCTTCCCTTAAATTATGAGACCAGTTGGAAGCTGTAAAGCTATTTCAAGGCTTTTAAGGAATTAAGTTAATTATTTTGGGAAATACACTTTATTGCTTTATGGCTGAGAGATAACACTCTCATATCTGTACAGTAAGTATAAAGTACCAAGAGCTTGAAGATCTGATAACTGCCCATTTTCAATTTAGTCTCTTTTCTCCTCAGTCAACTTTTAAATTATGGCACAGTGCCACAAACTGTATAGTAAAGTAAGATAAGTTAAATACTGTATGAAGCATTTGAAGGGCTGTGGTTCTGTTCACACTGACATTTGAATACATTAAACCAACATGCTTGTTGCATGTTTCAGATAAGGAGAACGACAGCTGCAGCTGCTCTGCTTACTGCAAAAGAACTGGTGAGTGCCACATCACAAAACCACCAGATTGTTATCTAATTAGATATCGTCTGAAAACTAATGTAAAAGTTAATTTATTTTTTGTTTGTTTGTTTTTAGATGCATACTATACTTTCAATGTAATATTAAATGATCCCACAATGAAGGATTTAAATATCTCGACCCTGGTAAGTTTACATGCACACATAGAACATGTATACATGTGTATGTGTATGTGTGTGTTTTATTTGTCTTTAATTGTCCACTTTTGTCATAATCTCTTAAATATTTACAGATTAATAAATTAACACATCCACCAGCATGCGCTCCAAAGTGAGTTTTGCCATTCTTTAAGCATATCCAAATTAAATGTCATATGTTCTTTACGTACCCTTTCATCACATTTAAAATAAATCACAATCTTTGTAATGTTGCGTTGCAGTGTTTCATGTCCATTGTCCATCATTGCATCTGAATACAAGGTAATCATTCTTTACTTAAACCTTCCCCCTTTTCTACTATGACTGTTTGCAAAACCAGTTCAGATGTACTCAAACTGTTCTGTCCATATTAAGTAAAATTAGTAAGAGGTGAACTAATATGCCTTTTTGATTTGTTTTAAAGGAAATGTATCTTTTACTGTAGCATAGACTTTACTTAATCTATTGGTAACACTGTACAATAAGGGACACAACATGTTAAACAATGAACAATTAGTTAATGAGTAACTCCTAATCAAAAGTAGTTAATGATTTGTTAATTAAGAGTGACGAATGAATCTGGAACAACTTGATAATTGATGAATCATACTTGAACTGATACTACATACCCTTATAATTCCTAATGGAAGACTATATAGTAGGTAATGATTACAACAGACTCAACAGACTCTTATATGAATGGATTATTTATTATTATTAGGTAATAATTAGTTCATGAATATCTGTGAATTGATCACACTGGCCACTTTCTCCAGGAGTCATTCCCCATTAACTCTGATTAACTCAGCCAGCGAACGTCACAAAAATAGTAACGACTCATTAATTACTAATTACTTAAACATTAGTTAATGTTTTTGTGCCCGCTAAAGTAATGTGATACATAATACTGAGAAGATGCTAAGTGGTCCCTCATTTACTTCATCATTTTTTATTTATTTATGCCTCATACTGAGCGGTTACTGAGTACAGAGTCATTACTTTATCATTAACTTATAATTAATTATCCTTAAAATAGTAGTCAGTAGCCATCTTTAACACAGTTATCTGCTTATTCTACATGAACTATGACATGAATATGAATATTTTGATTGTACTTTTGTCACATGCAGATATGCAATAATGATTGCTGGGTATTATGTATGTTGACGTCTCCATTTCATCATGTGATGAGACAATACAATACACAGTAACTAGTTGAGGAGCAAAATCTATCAAGACCATCGACAAGCTGAGCACATCTGCACATCTACTCAGTAACCACTCAGTATCTTTTTCCTATATATTTAGTTCTGTTATTTAACAGTTTAATTAAAATGTACATTTCTACTCAGGATGCCATTGTGATCTGTGGAAGCCTACCAATAAAGTGAGTCTAATAATATTACTAGCTTTGAAGGAACAACCTTTCTATGCACTGATAGATTTAAAGTGACTGAAACCTTTTGCTCTTCTGATTTTTTTGTGTTAAAAGTTGCAAAGTTATTTTAGGCTTTGCCAACAAGGTTCCTATATGCCTTCTGGCGGAGGCTGTGATGAATGTGATTCAGTTGGAGAAACAAATCAGTTACAACGGACTGGTGACTCGAGCAGGTTTGTATAATAATTATGGGAAGTCAGCGGGTCCATTCAACATCAATTCATACAGTCAAGAAAATAACCACCTGTGTCCTGTAAAACTTCTAATTTGTGTTTTTGTCTTGTATGTCACACAGCAATTTGTGGAAATTACAGCGACAATCCACTAAATTCCCCACTAACATATGTTGAAGTCAACATAAAGCCTGCTAACTTTTGTATGACTATGGAAGAGTCTGACATCCTTAATTGGTTTGTATTATCCTCTTTCCACCTCTGCACATTGTTGTTGATAAAAATGTAACACAAATACCTCTGCTCTTATCTTAATTTGTCCTTTTTCTTTATAGCCAAAATGGACAAAATGTGCTTGTGCTGCTGGAAGAGGAGTGTGTTCCACGGCCGTTTACCACACCCAGCCCAAATGTGACAACTGCACAACCTAACACCACCACCTCGTCTGTAAATGTAACATCATCCCCACTGAACACAACAACTATAGCCCCGAATGCCACCACCACTGCTCCTAATGTCACAGCAACACTCAACACACAATATAGGCCCCGAATGCCCACCACCACTGCTCCATAATGTCACAGGCAACACTCAACACAGCGTACAAGCCACCGATGAATGTCTCTGGTGACCCTATCAGAGAGCCCAACAACACAGATCAGGCTTTGTATATCACCTCAGACTGCCTACAACTCTGTTGTGCAACATTTGAGCCATCATTATGCAGTCCCTTTAAATGCTCTTGATTACGCTGAAGCCAAGCAATGCAGCTTTCTTGAGATGACCAGGGATGCTGTCCAATCTGAACTTCCAGCAGGTGGATCAGCGTTGGTGTCTCGCCAGCTGGAAGAATCTTTTATCAGGCCCGAACGTCAGCCTGGCACTTGGGGGAAAACCTCTGTCCACATCGTCAGCAATCTAGCTGGGTGCTTCTGCTGAGGACACTCTGCGGACTCCTCCAACAGGTTACAGATGATTTTATTTGACGTCATCTTCTCGAATATGTGTATAAATTAGGGGAATCAGTTGATATTACTCACTCTTTTTGGCCCTCGAGCCATTTTTATATTGACCGTTCTTGTTGCAGACCCTCCCGGGGAGCGCATAATAGCTGAGCTAATTTGTTCTCCACACCCTGTTACTACACAGAGGTGGAAAATAAAGTTAGACAGGGGGTCTCTCATTAGTCTGTTTGTGGAGTTCACCATGAATGTGGACCAGTGGCCTCACAGATTCAAATGCTGGAACGTTGTAATTATGGATTAAGTATTTACCACAAAAGTAACATATAATAGCCTATAAAGCTACATTTCATATAATTATTAATTTAATCATATCACTTCCTAATAGCAAATGTTCAAGAGCCTGCTACTGTCAGCCCAGGGCCTGGGAACCATTAATATAACTGTATTGGCTCTGCAAATATTAGAAATGATTATTACTTTGCATAATAGCATTTCTCTTTTTCATCAGGATTATAGGGATGTTTGACACAGTGGCGTTAAAAGCTGGTCGGCTTGACGACCAGCCTGAGAGCCCTCTTGTCCCCCAGCTGTTGCTCGTGTCTGTGAAACCAGCAGATGGCCACCAACTTCCAGGAAACCTTTTTTTCATCTCAGACCCAATAATGTACAGGTAGTGTTACGTGAATAGTCAGTTTATTACATCTCTGTGAAGTATTGTATTTTTTTTGTTTAAAGGAATCCCCACTGAGTAATTTTATTTATGTTTAGGTTGAAGAAAAACGTAAATTGCAGCTTACACACTGATTCATCACTATTAACTATCGAACAATGTCATACATAAATAATATATCAGCCACAGGGGACATGTTATTGCAGAATGGAGTACTTGTACTTTAATACTTTACGTTCATTTAGCTGATAATATTTCCATCCGTTTACTTAAGTAGCATTTTTGAATGCAGGAATTTTAGTTGTATTTTAGTGTATTTTTAGACTGTTGTATTGGTTACTATAATACTATATTGGTACTATTAAAATATCTGTACTATACTTAATGTATAACTTAAAGGACCTGCAGCTACATTTTCATACAGGCAGTTGAGAGTCAATAACTCTGGACCATCTTAAAACTCTGCAAGTGGAAGAGCAAGTCGAGCGTTTTTTTTACCACAGAAACACTGACATGCCACAGCATGAAAGTGTAATTAATGATATGAATGATGTTGATAGCTGCGTTTGAGCTTTTGATTTAGGTGTACAAGTTTCAGTATCCTGGTATTCATTATGTTGTACCTGCTATTACAAGTAAAATTGTCTGCTTTAGAAAAGTGTCTGTTGCAAATGATTTCCAAAATGTTCTACTTCACCCTTAATGGTAACAAATATCTTCTCCAACACATAATCTGTAAATACATATATTTGCACACAAATTATGCGCACCAAATTAGTCCTCGTTAGTATAGTGGACAGTATCTCCGCCTGTCACGCGGAAGACCGGGTTCGATTCCCCGACGGGGAGTTTCCTTTTAGATCACCTGCTGATCTTTCGCCGACAAAAAGGAAATAAACCGGCTGATGTAAGCGTGTGCTGCGTCAAGCTGAGGCTACGGGTACCTTAACTTTGCTCCTTTTTGCGTCTGTCTGATATTTTGACTGAGTACACTTTGATTTTGATACTGAGTAGAGCTTGATGTTGATGCTGAGCACAGTTTGATATGTAAACGGAAGCAGAGAAACGGCACAAAAGTTGACCAGGTTCCAATTTCTGCCGTGACCCGGATTCGAACCGGGGTTGCTGCGGCCATTTGCTCTAAACGGTGAATTTCTCAGAATTCAACAATAAACTCAAAGTTAAAAAATACTTGCATTAATAAATAGTCTGGAATTCAGTATATTCTACAAATGTGGAAGGATTTTGCTGCTTCTGCATGAAAAAATTCAGTGAGGTAAACTGGGTCAGAAAGTCTGGCAACCTACTTCCTTTCATCACAATGACGTGATTTTTTTAATATGACTTTTATGTGTTTATCCTGGGATTAAACTTGTTTTGTACATGTAGCAACATTTTGAAGAAGAAATTAGTTGAGCTATCACAGCCCAGCTATTGCAAATAGTGATCACTGATGGACTGATTGGACAGTTGCCCCAAATGAAAAAGTGGTATTGAAGTCTACGATAATAAAATCTAGCTGTTAAGCCTGTGTGTCCCTTTATTCATGTCCCATGTGTGTTGCAGGTCCGTGGGGATCCCAGGCTCAGAAGGAGTGTGAGAGCAGACTCCTCCATCCCACAGGGCTCCATCAGGCTGCCCCCCTCTCTCACACAGGACCTAACCTCCGAGCAACAGCAGCTGGTCTCCAGAGTCCAGTTCAATTTCTACCAGAAGAGCACAGTGTTCCAGGTCTGTACATTCAACATCCCTATTCAAGGAGAAGCAAATATCTTACTTTTATCAATTATAAATCCCTGGTTTTGTGTTTTAAAGGAAACTGAAAGATTGTCTTTACAATCGTTTCTTATGTTGTCTCCACACGACCATACAGGATAAATCTTTGGGAGAACGCAAACTTAATAGTGGGATCCTGGGAGCGAGTGTGGCCAACCTGTCAATCACAGGACTGCAGGACGATGTTGTAATTCACCTGAGGAACACAGAGCCCGTTCCAGTGAGTCTGTTTGCCAAAAACAGAATACAGATAGGCCACAAACATGTTGTAGGAGTAGCAGCTGTCACTCTCAACAGAGAAAAAAAAACATGATTAGAGATCATAAACTGATACAAACTCTTGTGCTTTTTCCCAAACTACAGGGTAACTTTGTGGCTAAATGTGTTTTCTGGGACTTCACATTCAATGGTAAGCTTTATAATAATGGACAGTAAATCAGAATTAAGTGAATATACAAAAAACAAAACATGAAATGATGGTGCATCTGTGTTTTTACTGGCAGACGGATCAGGTGGTTGGAATTCAAATGGCTGTTCTGTCCAAAACAGCACAGACAATGAGACAATCTGTGGCTGCAACCATTTAACCAGCTTTGCTATCCTGCTGGTAAGAAGAAGATCATTTTTCAGATCGCTTTCTTGCATCCTTTTGTTTGGTGAAAATAACAATAATACTTCCAATCCTAATTCTAAACACAATTCCACTCGTCTCTAACTTTGTTTTCTTTTTTTTCCTACAGGACCTCTCCAGAGAGCCTTTAACCAGTCGTCTCCAGGCCACCATCCTTACCTTTATCACGTATATTGGCTGTGGAATCTCTGCCATTTTCCTGTCTATCACGCTCCTCACCTACTTGGCCTTTGGGTGAGAGCCATAAGATAAATTACACATATCCAACATGCAGCAATTATAGCTGAAGTAGCATGAATGGTCACCAAGGTTTAAACACTTCCTGGTGCACCCTGATAGCTCGCTTGATAGAGCTGGCGCCCCATGTACCAAGGCTGAGTCCTTGCTGCAGTGGGTTAGAGTCCAATATGTGGCCCTTTGCTGCATGTCATCCCCCCTTCCCCTCCCCTTTCCTGTTTATCTCCAGCTATCCCAGAAATCCCCCAAAAATATATTTTTAAACACTTTGGTTTCTGGCCATGTTACAAGAACATTTTTTAAACTCATTTATGGTTTTAAGTGTCTTAGATTCTTGTCTCTTTTAGTTACCCAATGCTAAAACAGTGCAGACCTAATCTAAAAGACATTTCTCAACTTTTTAAATTCCATGCCAAATGGCATATCATCTTGTTATGTACAATGCTGAACAAAAACTTGCCTGTGCAACTGTAACATGTAAGGGTGAAAGCTGCATTCTTACACCAACCAAATTACAACATATATAAGAGATATATTATTCTGTCCCTCCGACTGTTATTTATTACCACTAGAGTTCACAAATGCATGTGACAGGTGACTGAGATGTTTAATGTTGTCTTCACCATTTGAACACTGCAGGAAGTTGCGTAAGGACATTCCATCCAAAATCCTAATCCAGCTGTGTATGGCACTGCTGCTGCTGAACCTGGTCTTCCTGGTGGATGCGTGGCTGGCGCTCTACCCGGACGCCGTGGGCCTCTGCATCTCCACTGCCTGGTTCCTTCACTACTTCCTGCTTGTTACCTTCACCTGGATGGGACTTGAGGCTGTCCACATGTACCTGGCCCTTGTGAAAGTCTTCAATAGCTACATATCACACTACATGCTCAAGTTCTCTCTGGTCGGCTGGGGGGTCCCAATGATTGTGGTCATTATTGTCATTGCGATTGACAAGGATAACTACGGCCTTGTCTCCTATGGGAAGTTTTCTGATGGCACCAGTGATGGCTTGTGAGTCTTTCGACAGTTTATCTGCAGTTACATGAACATTAATCTACACAAACTAAAAATATTCCACAAATACCAAGATACATGATATATAACCTGCACAAAACCAACCCTTTAATTGTCCACCATCCTCCACCCTATTTTCTCCCACAGCTGCTGGCTGAAAAATGACATCGCCTTCTATGTGGCAGTGGTGGCCTATTTCTGTGTCATTTTTCTCTTCAACCTCGTCATGTTTACTGTGGTGTTGGTGCAGCTGTGTCGGATAAAGAGGCAGAACCCTCACAATGCGAGTCACCGCACCACAATGCAGGATGCGCGCAGTGTGGCGGGGATAACCATCCTCCTGGGCCTCACTTGGGGCTTTGCCTTTTTTGCCTGGGGGCCTGTTAACCTGCCATTCATGTACCTTTTTGCCATCTTTAACTCCTTGCAAGGTGAGTTGACTCATTTGGGTCTGGTTGTTTACATTATAGTGGTTCAAGTAAAGCCTGGGTACAGTCATTTTTGTAACCATGAGGGGCTCCAGAGGAAAAGGAGGACGATTTGAGCGTATTACAACTTTACTGTGTCTTTTATTTGTACACACTAAAAATCACTGCATAACATAATACTGTGTTCATTTTAACCAGTACTCTATGGTCATTTACACATAATTTTTGACAGGTAAGGTGAAAGGTAAAAAGAAAAACCATATTTCAGTTTGGGTAGATTGGATTTGGGTAACTCAGATTAGGCCATCATTTTAATCGGTTTTGGGACATTTTATTTACCAAAGGATTGCTTAAATCTTGGCAATGGCAATACAATTCCAACAGGGAAAGAAACTGCATCAGACTGGTTGTACAACATGCTAAGACTTTAGCCAGAATATCTGAACCACTTGGTATGGTTATAAAACTAACAAGGGTACATGAGGCTGGCAAATGTCAGTAGTAATTCCTCATGCGTAAGAAAAGAAGAAAATGCGCGTGTGCACAACTACAGTAGGTCATAGTCAAAAATTAAATTGCCCTGTAAACTCTAATTGATGTTTACTGCAGACGTTTTAGGTAATAATTTTAACGTTTGCCCTCGTATTGTCTTTCAAATAAGTCAACCTTTTTTCACTTTGATAGTTTAAAAAAAACTTGAGCCCTAAAGAAAAATCATCTCTTGCAAAACTGCAGGTCCAGACAACTATAAAACAATTCAATACGACAAACGTAGACCAACTGTGTACCGGTGGACACACCAATATGACCCAAATGTGTTTGTAATGCTAATTAAAAAGTATTTTTTCATAGGCTCTCAAGTGTTTGTTTGTCTGTTACCTCCATGTCCACACTGACACACACTGTACTCCACATTGTAAAACGTTTGGTGTATCTTTAAAAAAATGCTCTCTCTGTTTTGTAGGTTTCTTTATATTTGTGTTCCACTGTGCGGTGAAGGAAAATGTGAGGAAGCAGTGGAGGACCTACCTGTGCTGTGGCAGAATGAGACTAGCAGAGAACTCAGGTTAGAGATGTCCACTTCACATTTCATTTACACACTCATGTATACTTCTGTTTGGTTTCTGATTCCTTTGAATGTGGATATCTGTTCCTTCAAAGTAAAAGATTCAATGGAATTAAATCAACCTTATACACCAATAATGCACGGCATAGTGAAATTTGTCCAGTGCATTTAAGCCATCCTAAGTACTGGGAGCAGTGTGCACCCACTGTACAGTACCCAGGGACCAACTCCAGATCTAAGCCAGTGCCTTGGTCAAGGACACTGACCTAATTTGCATTTGACCTATCTTGTTGAATTTCTTTTCACAGAATGGAGTCGCACTGCAACACAGAAGACTGTGAAAAGGCAATCGGTGACCAGAGTAACATCTCTTCATTCCTCCAACTCCGCAAATTCCAACAATTCATCCAGCTCCTCTGCTTTCCTCGCCAGCGACTCTTCAGAGCTTAATGGCATTGGTAAGTGAAGACAGTCTGCCATTGTAATTGTGGGAGTTACATCCACCTGATGTGAGATGTTTAGTAACTCATAACAGTGAGACTCACGATTAGACTACTGATTCATACACTTAATAAGCTTTAGGTAAGTCTTAGTAGCAGGATTTGCTCAATCTGCAAAAGTGGGTCATAAACAGGTTTTATCTATTGCTGCAGCTCATTTAATATAGTATCCCAATTTACCTTGAATTAACATGTGTTTGTTCTGATGTTTGACGAATGCTCACTGGCTTAAAATTGTAAAACAAGGCAGTCAGTGGAGTGCAACATTATCATATAATAATATAATATTAATATTTATATTATGATTTCAGACGAACTAAATGTGTGGTCAATTTAATGATGCTTTTGCAAAAATAGTTCTTCACATGTTTTATCTATTAGAAATAATGAAGAAGTGCTGTGTTACAGGTAGCCCATTTGAAGACAGAACAATCACAGCTGATGAAGACCCCAGTATGGATGTGATCCTCAACGAGCTCAACAGCCAGCACAGAAACCGATGAGCGCCCTGATCCAAGAAGGACAGAACAGACTGTTTAGTGGATCTGACTTGTATATAATGTACATTAATAGAGAATAATTTATGCACTGGCCATCTGCATTTCACATGTATTATATGACTTGTAATGGGGCAATGGAAGGCCTATATTATACATGGCATTTGATTTTTACACACTATGTTTATACTTTTTTTAATTGTACTTGCACATGAACTTCAACAATCTTTATTCCTTTGTACAGACTGGTACCAGTCCAGTCCAACATGTTAGATTCAATATTGGGAAACTTCACAGTGTCTTTAAACTCCTGTATGCTGCAGATAAATCCTACATTTCTAATAAGAAAGCTCTGTGTTGACATTTTATAATGATTGAAATATATGAATAATTAGCCTATTAGTCAAACAAATAGGCTAACACGAAGTAGAGCTGTACATTTTCAGATTTTGACTGTAAATAATATCAAATATAAAAGAATTACACTCACATTTAGCATAATTGATCTGTGCAGCAGACTAATGATTAGCATGTCAGCATGCTAATATCACAGTGTTCCAATTATGGTCTGCTAAGGTTGACAGTAATTAAGTAATTATCCTACGAGCTGTGTGTTAGAAAAGTGAAGACTTTGATACTAGCTGAAAAGTAAGGGGAACTGTGTCTTTAGGGTTCATCTTGTGGGGGCACTGAATTTGTGTGATGTGGCAATGCATCCAATAATTTAGATTTTTACTTTGAGTGAAAGTATCTCACTAAGAATGCCATCACTAAAGAGATGCAACTCGAGTGGCTGAAAAAAATGTTCACACCCAGCCACAGAACTAGGATCTAGCACTTTGCATTAACTGTGATGTTTCTATCACATTCATGGATACTTCCTGACTACTACGTGTTCATATAATCTACTTAACTGTCCTCCCTGCACCCATTTTAGTCATGCTACAGTGGTTACAGTGATGGCAATGACATTCCAGACTGAAATCAAACAAAGGAGGGGTTAAAATTAAATCCACTGGATCCACTGTAAGTCAGTCACAC